ATTCCCTTGGGCACCAAAATCATATATACTGAACTGCAAAAGAAACTTAACTTCATGAAATTACTTCATAAAAATTTCCTCTTGAAATATCAATGAATTTTGTTGAAGTATTTCGTTTTTGACATTAGTCTGTATCCTAATTAATGTTAACGACCAAAAAGAAATGATTTATTGATATAATGGGTTGCCAAAACGCAGCTCAACAAACGATCATGGTACAAAGTCCTGAATTCTCTCCATGAAAATCAAAATGCACTTGTGTTTCCTTGTGCCTTTTCGGATAATTGGCACCCCAATACATGTATGTAACATTCTTTTATCAATACTAGCGCCATTCCAAGACTTGCGAAGAATCAGAGACACCAGGCTTAGAACAACTGCATGCTAGCCAGACTGCGTGAACGGTTGCCAATGCTTTTAATGTCCATGTAAGAACCATCTACAGCAATGATACCAGGTCACCAACGGCAAGACGTCATCCTAAAGCCTGGTTTCTCTGATTCCTCGCAAGTCTTGGCATGGTGCTAGTATTGATACAAGATCACATTTCCTTTGCGGTTCAGTATATATTCAGCAGGTCACATTTGTAAGATTTGTGTGAGTTACTAGGGGAAAGAAATAATGGAACAGCTGACCAAGGGTAGAGTTTGACATGACATTTTCTACATCCCAAGGAGAATTCCAAATATATGTCGGCAATGTCGTGACATAATGCTCAGTGACATTTTGGATGACAGGTAACATTTTCACAACAGTAAACGCTAGTCTGTAACATTGATGTGCTTTTCCTAAATACATTCCGTCAGTTTATTTCTGTAGAGCATGGTGGACATACAGATGCAGTAGTACAACATTCTCATTCAACACTACATGACCCAGGTATCACACAGTTATCACACAGTTATCACACTGCCATACTGAGGAGGGCATCCATATAATGACATCGCTCACACACTGACTGACAAACAACTAAGATGTCGACCATTACATTTTTTGCAAGAAACAAAACACTGAAAATGCTGGAAAAATTCATCTTGAAGCAGTCAAACTCCGACAGCCAAGACCTTGTTGGAGCAGAAACAGGGAATAGGTACACTTATACGAAGGACAATAGTCCAGAATGATCATGAGTTTATCCGGACAATTCCACAGGTAATAGTACTGCTTGCATTAACGGCCTACTGCATAGCACACATAAAATACTGAGCTTGAAACTTGTGAAAACATGACTCACTTGTTGTGAGAGTAAGACTGTGTTCTTATTGCTGGTCTGTTCAGAAGGAAACCCAGCACTCATATCACCAGAAGGGGTTCTTCATTGCATAGGTGATGCACACATTCGGGAGACTTACTGTCTTCAAAAATATCTCTACAAGTCAAGTACACGTTTAAAAAAAATTGAGGCAACTAACTTAGAGTACAATGCGAACTTCAAGTCTTGGGGCCTATACAGATATATCTAGCTATCTTAGCTCCAGACAAGAGGAATGCAGGTATTAAGCCACACCAGGGTGCCGTTGTACAAAGTGATCTTAGCGCTAAGGTGATCATAACTACCATAACTACCATACCATACCTTACCATAGACTTACGACAGTTGTAGTGCTAAGATTGTTTTGTACAAAGGCACCCAGGATCACAAAAATAAATCAAGTTTGTGAAGGTAATTGTGACAGTTTCATTGGAATATCAAAATAATGCTTCATAAATGTCCCAATCTCCACACCTGATGGTTGCAAGTGCCTGTGATGCATGGTGGGTGACTTTTAAGTAGTATTCTTGGACGGATGGTGTACCACCAAGTGGTAAAGAACTAATTTTGATTCAGCAAATTATCACATAAGTCGGAGCAAGCTGAACCTGTCTTCATAGGAAGGCCTTTCACTCCTTCCAAAACATACACGCGAACAACACACACATCGGAACATAGCAACAAACATAGACTGTATCTCTGATACACTAACAACCACTGGTTCTTAAATACACATTCACACATGACTGAGGGGATAGTAATAGACTTAACAAGTTCTCAGTACCAAACTACCACACAAATATACAAGATCCTCCTCCGCTTCTCGCGTAGACTTTCAATCTAAAACAAATGCATACTATCTAATATCTGTTGACACAGTAAAAGCAACAACTACAGATTGGTGTGATGTCAACTTCACCATAACCTCATACACTGATATCTGAGCTTCAACAATTTTCTCAAATGTACAAATATGAACAGATCTCCTTCCATGCTTTTGCCAGTCAAATCAATGGTAAAAAATACTTGTTTCTTGATACAAAAGCGAACACTGTTTTAGTGAAGGCAAGTTGGCTAGATACAATGGACGTCATAATCTCTCCCAAGTCAACCAACCTACATAATAGAATACCGTATATGACTGTAGATAAGCCGAATTTTGAGGACCAGAAAAAAGATTCCGTAGGGGTTGGGTTATGTATGGGTTACACCTTCATCAAACTCTTTTTCTGTTGGTAAAAAAACTACACCGTTTTGCTTCAGGTGAATGAACGACGCAATACCTTTGTCAATGAAAATGTGAAATTTGCAATTAAACATGACTGGACATGATGATTTACCATTTCGATTGTATTTCTTGTTATGCTTGGCATTGTTTTATCTATGAGATCAGCTTATCTACTGTCACATACGGTACATCAACTTAATCATAACATTGGGATAGTACATCAACAATACAAGGACTTCATGATTCACACTATATGATAGTTACAATCAGCTAACGATAGTTACAATCAGCTAACAAAGTATCACATTCATAAGCAATGCAGATGCTTTAGTCAACACATGTATTTCTACACTGGCAAAGTCAAACAGTATCTGCTTCACGACCACCACAGGTGTCTCATCTCCTGTTGCAGTCAAATACAGGAAGAAACAGGAATAACTTGTGCAAGATACTGATATATCTAGTCATAACTGAAAGAATTTACACCACTTTCAGCAGTAATTAAACCCAAGTGTTCACATATTGCAGCCAGACTGAACATATTACTATGAACCCACCCAGAGAGCACCTGCAATTACTGTAACCTGCGTTATTTTCATACTGTTAAATCTGAATATAGATACATACCAAGACCAAATTCATACACAAGCATGATCTAACAAATATGTCAGTGTCAGCACTGTAGGCCTCAGTGTCCATTAACGATAGCCTCACTTGGAAGTAGGCAGTGTGCTGATGAGACAGGGATCCTGTCATGCAACACTTGGTCACAGCAGCCAACATGCTCTGCAAGATAGACAGCCTTGGTAGAAATCTTGTGGTGCATGGACGGAAAAAGACAATGTGTAAGATCACAGTATACAGTAAATATAGAATACTAAATGAGCTCCCGTGTAATACCAATTTAATGAAACGAGTGAATAGTAAACTATTCACGAGTTTCATAAAATTGGTTTAACACAGGAGCGAGTTTAGTATTTTATTTATTACCGGCCATTTATAACGTTTTTTAGAAGTATACTGTTGAGTGTGAATAGGCTGACACCTACACGATCCAGGGCATAATCCAACTGAGTTTAACACAGTAATACTTCAAACACGTCAAAAGTTGAAACGTATGAATTAAATACCATACAATGGTCCACCTTTAGAATTCAGGCGTCCATTCCATAAAATTATCTTAGCGTTAAGGTTATTGCAACTCATATACTTTAACTTAGACTAACGACTGTCGTTGCGCTACCGTACGATCACCTTGTGGAACGGGGCCTTGCACCTCAAAGTTTACCATCACGTCACAATACCCGATGACGTAATTTGTTGAATTTTGTTGCAAGGTCCTTCGGTGAAACAATGCCATGTGACGTCAGCCTAGCAACAAGGTTGCTGGGGTCATCGAGTGTGCATAAGCTCCTCTCAGCGATCTATTATCTCTACACGCAATGTCTTTGAATAAGCCAAGGGATGTTGAGAGCTTTCAATATTTGTTCGTGAAACGTGTTCCGAGAGTACACAAGCACGCGTTTTGGTATTACACAATATGTTATACAGCTGTATATTTATTAAACAGGTGATCTCTTCACGGGCAAGTAATGAATTGCTTCTGCTGGTTGAGTTTGGCCTGCATCATGCAGCATGTTGCTATATGCTTCTTCAGCTGCTTTTCAAGCTAACAGTATTGAAGTTTAAGTGGATAGTAACTTTTTTATATCTTAAATTTCTGTTTAATCCTTAATTATTAATGGCTATTAGAACCTTATAAATTGAAAAATAAAAATGAACATTAGCATTACTCAATATCTGTTACATAGAACATGTAGAAAACATGGATTGCATGAATGAAATGTGAATATAGTTAACATCATTGTCTGAAAATATCTGCAAAGCTATTAAAGGCATGTCCCATTAATATTTTTGGGGTATATAACGCACTATACAATATCAAACTGAGGTGAAGGGTAAACAAGATCCGACCACTCTCAGATAATAACATTCTTCCAGGCATGTGGGATATAAATGCAGCCTTGATGTGTTACGTGCGATGCTCCTATAGTTTCAACAATCAGCCTTATACACGTAGCTCTACTAGCACAGATCTTGGATTAGAACCACTTGTCGTAAGAGAACCAATTCCAAGGGAATCATGATACACCTCAATGTGCCATATCAGAGTAACATTGTATCATTACCTGCCACTTGACAGTCAAGATTTCTACCAGCCATATTGAGTGAGTGGGTGAGTGAGTGACGTAAATTGGAGATAGTTACCACTTTGGTGTAATACCTAAACATGGGAATAGTCTTGATAAACTTAGAAACATTATCAGAGTCATTCGAACCCATGGTCATAAGCTGCTGGCAGCATCTAGGTGAGTGAGTGAGTGAGTTTGGTTTAACGCCGCTTTTAACAGTATTCCAGTTATATCGCGGCGTGTCAGCTTAATGTGGGAGGAAAGCCCGAAGTGATGCAGGACTCAGAAGTTTACCACTTCAGTGAAACCCACGAGCACGGGTATGGTGCTGACAAACCTAGAAACATAATCGGGGCGAACCGGGATTCGAACCCACAACCATAGGTTTCTGGCGTGCCCAAGGAACGCAACTCTGCACAGCGAATCGCAGCGCCTTAGATGACTGGGCCACCCGTGCCCCCGGCAGCATCTAGGACGACTGGGCAGCCCATGCCACAATAATACCTTTCTTGCTTCTAACAGGCAGGGTTCACTCTAGGAATTTTCTGACATGAGCCCTTCATGTGAAAATTTCAAATATTCCAGAGGTAGACCCACACTTGCCCACACAGCAGGATGTTAAACTGACTCATTATATTTGAAAATGTGGGCCTTATTTCCCATTAAGGGGCTAAAAGCGAAAGGCCCCACCCCAGAATTATCCCTGAACAGGTCTTGTATTGATAAGAGAAAAAAAGAAATGCTTAATGTATTGTGGACCATCGTGACACCCCTGGCTAGATTAAACACAGGTTACCCACTGTTTACCATAACCCTGAGGAGAGATTTAAATTATCTTTGCTACATTCAGAGAGATTCTCACATACTGGCCCCTTGCTCTCTGTCTGGAGATTGACACCATCGTCACTGGATAACTACACGTAACAGAAATCAACTATTATATCATGCAGTCAAATATCCTAAAACCCTACCGGATTAAGTAAAGTATTAGCTGTGTTGATTTATTATTTGGCAAGAGGACATGAGTTACTTTTCACAAAACAACACTGTTAACAAATTTACCAAATGGATACTCTGAGAGAATGTGTTCACAGTTGCTATGATCAACTCACTGAGAGGGATTGAGCGAGACGGCTTTTACACAGCTTTAAGCAATATTCCAACCACATCACGGCAGGACATCAGAAATGAGACTCACTGAGAGGGATTGAGTGAGACCACTTTTACACAGCTTATAGCAATATTCCAACCATATCACGGCGGGACATCAGAAATGAGACTCACTGAGAGGGATTGAGTGAGACCACTTTTACACAGCTTTTAGCAATATTCCAACCACATCACGGCGGGACATCAGAAATGAGACTCACTGAGAGAACAGTATATCATCTCTGACTCGTCTGAAAGTTTCACTATTTGGCTCATTGCTGACATTGAAGCATGTTCTGATCATCCACCCATAACACAATCCTCTTTTCCATAATTCACTCTGACATAGTGCAGCTTCTGAGCGACGATGCTATGGTAAATGCACTTCTTCTGCATAGTCGAAGCCTCCGTCAGCCTGGGATATACTCCTGTCTGTTGTCATGTCATCAAACTGAAATGGAGACAGTTAACTGTTGCAAACTTTGTACATGGCATACTTGAACAACAGATACTTTGTTGATCTGTTTTTGAAGCAATATCATACTTCCTAAATGAAAAACCCGACTCTATAGACACCAGGGCCAGATAGTCATTGAGTATGACTTTATGCCTCCATAAGAAATATCATAGCTAAAAAAGATAGAATTATAATTAAACCGGCTGCACGTTTTCAGAAATGAGCTGACCACTGTAACCATTATCACGCCGGGCGTTAGATGACGTTATCTGGTTTGTTCTATGACGTTTCCATATCTGTAAAAGTGGGTCAGTGACATTCGTTGTGTGTTGATTGCAGTAAATGTTTCAAAACCGATATTGTTGTTTATTTTTATTTGATAACAAGTTCTATCCATTTTAGCTATAATAACGGTGACGCTAATTTTTAGGGCATTATCATTTGAAGACGCCCTTGTTCTTTTCAACTGCCCTCCTTCGTCGGCCTGTTAATGGAAGACCTCAGGCTTCTACAAATGATAATGCACTGAAAAATAGTGCTACGCTTATATATTGGGTTATCCAAAGGGGGCTTCACTTAATGTAACAATTAGGGGATTTGAACCAGATTTTCAGCATGACAAGCCAATGCTAAATAGATTAAATAGAATAAATATAGAGCTCCTCTGTGACCTGATAATCCCTAACATGCCTCAGGTGAGGTGAAATAGGGTTTAACGCCGCGTCCAAGATTATTGCACTTATATAGCGACGTGCATGCACGTGTATGTGTGTGTATGTGGCTGCTTGTACTAGTCCGGACTGATGCCGATTTATAGTGCTAGCTCACTGAGATACAATGCCGCAGTTTAACATGAATACCCCACTCAGACACAGTATACTGACTCCGAGCCGACCAGTCCTTGTTTTAGCTCCTTAATGCCGAGCGCCAGACAGGGTAACAACAAGTACCATCTTTTAACGTCTTTTGGTATGACGCGGTCGGGGATCGAACCCCGGACCTTCCGCTCTCCAGGCGGATGCTCTACCATTAGAACACGGAGGCGGTCTACATGCCTCAGGCGCTGATGGTTTGTGCATTAATACATTCAAACACTGACAAGTGTCAAGCCAGTACAGTATGTGCAAATATGACCTCACCTCACTCTTGTCACTCTTAAGGAAATCCTCTCCCTCTATGGAGAAGTCATCCAAATCTTCTTCCTCAATCTCCTCTGCGATGCTGCCACCACCATTCTCATTTACCGACTTGGCCTCCGATTTGACCCGTGGACTCTTGGCACTGGCGCTGTGACTGCAACACAAGCACAGGCTGAAGCATTCTTCAAACATCACAAATACTTTTAGACTGCAGCTCAAGTCTTTCTTGCATGTGTGACAATGGGACACCCTAATGCTGGCTATTTAGATGAATATTAACCACACAAGATCTGTCTACAAATGCGGTCCACCAACACCTCTTAGGAGGTGACTTACTTGCACATGTGACAAATAATGCTGACTATGAATATTATTAACCATGGTTAATCCAGTAACATGGGGTCTACGACCTGTCTATGAATGTGGTCCACCAACACATCTCCTGTGGTGTCATCTGAACAGTTTTAGTATTATTTGGCTTCAGATAAATGCCATTAAGTCATTCTATATACTTTTCATGATGTTATGGATTTTTTATTAGGCACTTTTCTAGCCTGACCAATATGTTAAACCTGTGTCTTGTGTCTTGTGGAATGCCCATTAACCGAGTCAATATGTGACCTCATCAGTTACTAAGCTGTGAACAAAAGGAAAATATGATACTTCCTCAACATTATATAAATACTGTGACCAAGTTGAGACCCCCCCCAAAAAAAACCCCAAACCAAACTACTTACATCGAGTCTTGGAAGTCATCTTCATATTCAAAGTCCTCTTGACTGTCTGAAATCACAATGTATGTATGTGAGTGAGTGAGTGAATGAGTTGGGTTTAACGCCGCTTTTAACAGCATTCCAGTTATATTGTGGCGTGTCAGCTTAATGTGGGAGGAAAGCCCGAAGTGATGCAGGTCTCAGACGTTTACCACTTCAGTGAGTGAGTGAGTGAGTGAGTGAGTGAGTGAGTATGGTTTTACGCCGTTTTTAGCGGTATTCCAGCAATATCATGGCAGGGGACCCCAGAAATGGTTTTCACACATTGTACCCATGTCAGGTGATGAGCAAACATTTTAACCTCTAGGCTCCCTGACCGCCCAAGTCAAGGAACAAAACAACATTCGTTTTCTGCATTAGTGTTGGGAATCACTCATTAAATGTGGCTACAACACAGAAGACATTCAGTTGAGAACATTTCTCCCATAATCTGCATTACCCAGCTTTTGAAATTCACGCTAGTCCACTAACCTGAGACCACTAATTTGGGCTGAGAACAAGTAAAACAACAAAGATGCAAGACCTTATTGACAAGCAGCATTTCAGATATAAAATTGTGAACCAGTTTGAACGGAATAAAAGTAACAGAAAATGTAAACAGAAAACAGTTTTGTCTCATTCAAGCAGGACCAGCTACAAACACTGGGGACTAGTGAAATAAAGTTTACACTCGTCTTGACACATACCCACTAAATGTCTAAAGCCTATAAATATCTTTCCCTGTACGTTGGGTGTAGATGTGCACAAGATCAAGATGAAAGAAAAGATGAAAAAGTTTCATTACCCCCAAATCCCAAGTCAACCATCCTCTTGTCAAGCGATCGCAGATTCGGATCTGAACTGGCATTCAAAGAACTATTTCCTAAAATGAAAATGGACAAATGTAATCAAACAGTAACAACAGCATAATGCTGTGTACATCTTCCTGAGGCAAGGGAGTTGACTGACTATAGAAGTCCAGTTTCCAACCTTGCCCGAACTATGCTGAAATTCCGGAGTTACAGTTTGGCTGGACTAACGAGTCTGTGCATAGTCCAATCAAAACCGCGTAACGAACTAGACATCCGGTTCGTAAACAATATGGATTTCAACGTGCAGATTTCAGTGATTGCAGGATTTGCAAAGCGTGTGTACCGTCAACTGGGCGTCAAAAGACATTTTCCAAATCTTTTCATGTTTCTTATCAAGGTGCTCACATGATATGATGCACGAAGTAAGAATCATTTTATTACAAAAGAAATTTTGCCTATCGATCAGATCATCTTAACTGGGCGTTGTTTGAAGCCATTTTGTTTGAGGCAATTGCAAGTGATGTGAGAGGTGGAATGTGATTGCCCAATAGGAGGGACACAGAAGGAACATAACTCAAAAAGCCATCGGTGGTGCTAAGATCGAGCCACAAAATTCAAGCCTAGTTTGGCAAGGGTGGTAACTGGACTCTTATTGTCAGTTAACGCCCTTGTCATGGGAAGATGTTCTGTGTAAGACGTCATCCTCAACAATCTTATACATGACTTAGAACAACTTTGTTTGATGAAATAGAGTATGAGTATCGTTTTAAGCGGCTTTTAGTAATATCCCAATAATATCAGATGGGGATATAATGTGATCATATTCGAGTTTTATCGATACAGAATCAACAATCATTTTCATAGATTATTTTCCTAGTTCTGACAGACAAAGGATCAAAATTGAAGTGAATCTAGGACTCAGCTTCATTACTAGCATCATCTTAACCAAGAGACAAAACAATTCTTCTGACCATGAGACTGAGCTGGTGGTGCCTTGTCCGAGGTGAGTGATGGCAGACCCTGCAAGGAGCTCATGTTGCCGGTGCCGTGCTTCTGTGCAGTTCCTCCGTTGGAGGTGGGCTTCTTGTCCTTCTCCTCACTAAAGGGATCAAGTGAGACAAAGTTTGAAACAAGAGTAGCGTAGTTTCAGAGTTTACTTGAAATTTCATTTTACCAGACATACACACGGACTATTAAACTTTATGGCCTGTGTGTTCTCATATTAGGTCAATTACCTCAGAAAACCCATGCACAGAACTATTAATCTACAACCCATATTCCAAAAGAATAAATATTACATTTGTAATTCCAAGATAGTCAGTGCTAAAGAATGAATAACTGTTAAAAGATTAGTAACTCAACAATAAACAAATGTAACAAAGGATAAACAAATAATCAAACAAGTTAAAAGAGGTGAATATGTTGAAGTATGTTAGTAATTTATGTCCACAAATAGGAAACAGTAGAGATCTTCCAATAACAAACATTGCTGTTTTCTTAAAGTTTTTAAATGACCCATAAGAGTCACTATCTTTCTTGAATATGAACCCCAGAGTTCAGGATGGTTAGAGCCAACAAGTATATTTCATATTTCTCCCATGCTCAATGTCTAACATAGCTTTCCCTTAATGAACAAAACACCTCATGAGTCTACTACATCCCACACACAGAGTGAGAAAGTGAGTTTGAACAGTATTTCAGTTATATCACGATATGTCAGCTTGATGTGTGATGAAAGCATGTAGTGATGCAGGTCTCAGACATTTCCCACTTGGGTGAAACCCCTGAGCACGGGAAAGGTGCTGAAAATTCCAGATACAAGACTGGGATGCACTGGGATTCGAACCCCACATAGGAAGTCGCATTCCTACAAACTACCTGGCAGGACAATAACAAAGTCGTTTGTGTGTATCTATTCTTGAGGGTTCTACTGCAGAATGCCCTACATGGATGAGAACAAGGATGCAGACATGCATCTCAAGCAGTGATTCAACACCAGCAAGTCACCCTACGCAGACAGGTTAAGTCAAAGCACAGCACCTCAAACCTGACCCATCAACAAAGTGTACTGAGAAATGGAGTGTATTATAGCATTTATGCAACCGATATTTCAAGCTAAGCTGAATAAATTTACGTTCCTAACTATCAAACTGAAACCTAAGTTATTATATCAATAAAAGCATCGTGCATAAGCTCTACTGCCAACACTGTTCTTGTTTCCCTAAAGTGCTATTTGCAGTGCCACCAAGAAGTGACTCTACTGTCTTCTATCAAACTCATGCTAAACCTCGAACATATTCAGTGTTAGTTTAGTGCTTCATCCCCGTCACAAAACACAAAATCCATAAACGCTGTTAGTAACCAAACCAAACGTCAGGCTGATTCAGCAAGCTGTGAAACAGAAACGGTGAAACAGAAGCACATGAACGAAGTAAACCAAACAGTGACTGATGCAGCAGGCAGTTCTAACACGATGTTAGGTAGGTGGTAGGTCCTCCACTAACCTCCTGGCCCCCGCGATATACACAGGAATCTGGGACGTCCGCCCAGGCGAACTGCTGCGTCGGTTATGAGACGAGGGACTAACATTTCTGTTGTGATGATAAACAAATGGATGAATGGCAAGTGACAAAAAAGTGACGAGATGACATGCTGATAGCGAGAATCTGGTTAGAGAGTTGTGATGAAACAGATGAAGAAGCCATGTGCAACACAGGTGATAGGTGTCCCAGAAATCTTGCAATGCACCACACAGATGAATGGATGGATAAGAATATTATATGAAGACACTTATAAATCATGTTACTTGCTTGGAAAAACGAACATTGAAAGTTAAAAGACAATGGAGATTAATCTGATCCACACTATCTAAATAGCCTTGATCATATATGTTGGACTTGTTAATTAGCACCATCGTGTAGGAGGTAGAATTGATGTAGCAATATTTTGGCAAATTGTTTTACAGCTGAATCATTTTGAATTGCTGAGATTACTGTTACAACACATCAGGGATGTGGGAGGAGGAAGTACCACAGGGATGTGGGAGGGAGGGTGGGGCGAGACCTGGCTGCAGGCAGGGAGGGAGCCTGTACAGGCAGTGTGTCACAGTGAACACCACAGGGATGTGGGAGGGGGAAGTACCACAGGGATGTGGGAGGGAGGGTGGGGCGAGACCTGGCTGCAGGCAGGGAGGGAGCCTGTACAGGCAGTGTGTCACAGGTGAACACCACAGGGATGTGGGAGGGGGAGGTACCACAGGGATGTGGGAGGGGGAAGTACCACAGGGATGTGGGAGGGAGGGTGGGGCGAGACCTGGCTGCAGGCAGGGAGGGAGCCTGTACAGGCAGTGTGTCACAGTGAACACCACAGGGATGTGGGAGGGGGAGGTACCACAGGGATGTGGGAGGGAGGGAAAACCATAGGGCTACTTTTTCATACTGGCATGATCACAGGTACTATAGTAGTAGGAGGTCTTATTGGAAACAAACACTGACCATTTCAATAATGTGAACAACACAAGGACATTGGAAGGAGAGAGGTGGGGGTGAATGTTTCAGACCTGTATTACAGATATTCTGAGTAAAGAAAACTGAGCATTGCATTACCAAACATATATCAATTACTATTATGAGTAAGAAATATAATAGTATTAAGCATGTTCAATAAGGCTAATCACGCTTCCTGGGATACACTCCTCAGAGTGCACAGCACCCTTTCTTCAATTCAACACTTACTTTAGGACACTATACCAATATTCAGGATTTGACAGCAGAGGAGGATATCATGGAAGAAAACTGGTGGAGGAACGCTTACCAGGATTAATAGAGTGAGTGGGGGATAATGTTGACTCAGCAGAATTGTAGAGGTACATAAAGATTGAAGGGTACATGAAGACAAAGCCTCACACATTATCCCATTGGGGATTGATCCTAAAGGTCTTCCGCGTGACAAGTGAACATATTCACTGATCTAGCCTAAATCCCTGGTTCCAAAAGTAGGCAGGACTGCAGGGTCACACGTCTTGTGTTGTGATAACTAATAAATTATTGTATTGGGCATTGCTGCCTCCGAGGTCCACCAAGACAAGACGTGTTACACTATATCAAGGTTTATAGATAGGGTCATATTTATAATCTAATTATACTCAGTGTATAGTGGAATTATTGAGATGTAAGAATTTATAGTTGGGTAGGAAATAAGAACCAAACAAGATGTTTTTATGCTCTTCGGGTTCTTGTAGTTGTATAGCATGTTTAAGTTCAAGGTAGTTCTGACTTGAAGCACAAGGTAAAATTGCTTAAAGCAGCATTTATGAACTTAAACCCTAGAAGTTATTAGCCGATTCAGATTTAGACAATGTTAGAGGTGTGTTGTGATAGATTTGATAATTCTGACCACCAAATATGTACATGGTTGGTCTTGAAATACTATGATCTAAATACTAAACAGCACATATCTAGAAGCCAGATCCATGGATTATCAGGCAATATACCTCCTGGTTCATTGCATTTCAACATTGTTGACCCCCAGTCAGCAACATCACAGTTACATCGTGGCGGTCTATAGATAAGAGTATCCCACTGACCAAAGCATAAAATAAGAAATAATCCACACCATCAGTGCATGATGCAATCAGATAGGTCACAGAGCCTGACAACTCAATCTGAAACACTTAGCCCTAACAACAAGCAAAGGTTACCAGGGACCAATTCTACCCCATATTGCAGGGTTTACTCGTAATAAGAACCTTGCAACATCACTTGGGAGTCCTGATAAAGATGAAGTGATAGGTGAGAGTATGTGAGCCATGTGCAGCACAGCAGAGCAATCAGAAACAACATGGTCCTGTTAACAACCAGACCCTCTAAAGATTAAACTGCCCAAGACCTATCAAAAGGTCTCTCTGTATAGTTAATATTTAACGTCACATCGGCAATATTTCAGCCATATCGTGACGAGCTCTCTGTATAACAATGCCACTATTAAACTACTGAGGAGGTTGGGTTTAACGTCATGTTGAACATTATTTCAGCTATATCATGGGATGTGAAGTGATGTGAGGGGAAAGACCCACGTGATCAGGTCTTAAACGTTCACCGATCGCTGAAACCCATTGACACAGTGATGCTGACAAACCTAGGAACATAATTGGTCGAACCAGGATTCAAATCATAGGTTCTGTCCTGTCAAAGGGATGCAACTCTGCAAACGACTTGCAGTGCCTTAGACACCGAGGCCACTCATGTCCCCCTTTGTATTCTGATGCTTATATTATTCTATCATTACTACTGGCATAATGCCTTGGAATAATATCACATATACCCTTATACGTTTGTAGCAGAGATAACAGTGGCGTGTCAATGTAACAACAGTTGTCTACAACATCCTGTAACATTACAGGAGTACATGGGTATTACTTCATACTAGGTTTCCATGCAGGGCTGATTCAGGCATGAAGGACAGGAGAAGGGTTATACATATGGAAGACAATAGGGCACCGTGTCACATTCATCAATAGTACATCTTGATGAGCACATGGCAATATTTACAGTATCAGCTTACATCATGTATTATCAACTAATCTTGGAACATTATACTTTATCATTGCAAGTTAGTTTGTATCTATTTGACTTGTTATTTGATTGTTTAAATATTGATAAAACATGTTGATGAACACTTTTTATTTCTGTGCCTATAAAGAGAAAAGCAAAATATAAATAATCATTAGTAGTACTACTTAAAGCAAAAAAGAGACACATAGTTCACATAACCATGTCAAAGAAAGCATTATATATATTTGTGGACTGAAAAACTTGACATGCACAAGGATTTCAAGGGATCATTCAGTCAAAATGACCAATTTTTAAGTAAACGGTTAATAATGTTATGCATGCTGTGAAAGTCATCCTATTTCCCTTAGTTTGAACAAGAATAACATGAAATATATACTTAGGGCAGAAAGACTTATTTTGGTTAAGGATAAACAACATTTATCCACAATAGTACATCTAATATGAATGAGATGATGTTGCCTCGTCTACAGTGTTACCCCTACACCAGTGAAGCCATGCTATGTTGTAGTGCCACACAACGCTACCTGTTGGACAGGGTGTAGCTTCCAGCTGCAGGTACAGGTTCATCAAAGAAGGAGTCGCCCTCCTGGTCGCTGCCCAGGTCGATGAGTGAGTTGTGTTTGGGGCCGTTGCTGGCCTCGCTAGATGGCTGCTTGTTGTGTTCCAGGTTCTTGTGGTTTTTGGCTTCTAATGAGTTGAAGAAGTTGTTTTCTGCATAACTGGAAGACTGGAGGAGAGGAAACAGATTGGGAATTTCTCTACGTGTCTTGTTTGCTTGATTGTTTAATGCCACACTCAACAATATTTCTGCAATATGTTGGCAGCTTGTAAATAATTGGACCAGACAATCCAGTGATTGATATTATGACATTGATCCATGCAACTGGGAAACAATGACATGCATCAACCAAGTCAGCGAGCCTGACCACCCAATGCCGTTTACATGCATGGGTTTCAGAAGACCTGGATCTTCACAGGTCTTTACTACATAAATCCCATTTAACATGAATACCCAACTCACAGTATATGGGTGAGTGATTGAGTTGGGTTTTTAATGCTGCTTTAACAGTATTCGTTATATCTCGTCAGCTTAATGTGGGAGGAAAGCCCGAAGTTATGCAGGTCTCAGATGTATATCACTCCGGTGAAACCCACGAGCACGGGTATGGTGCTGACAAAACTAGAAATATAATCTGGGCCGAACCCGGATTCCAACCCACAATCATAGGTTTCTGGCCTGCCCAAGGGACGCAACTCTGCACAGCGAATCGCAGCGCCTTAGACGACTGGGCCACCTGTACCCCCCACAGTATATGGACTCCATGCTGACCAGTCCTTGTTTTATCGATGCATTGTATTTAAGAAACATAATCCTACAGTTTGTGCCAACAACTTTACGGGTCTACAAGGCTGAATTTGTCCTTGCATTTATCAGTACCTTAAAGTGGGACCAGAATCTACAATCTGTTGTCGGTTTTCAGTCTAGATGTTGTCTGTTGTTCAGCTAGTCCCCCATTTAATCCTGAAGTATTGTGTCCATGTAATTAGGGTAATCATTGATGATGATTTGAATCAATTTTGCTGTGACTGCCAACTTTGGACCAGAGCAAAAATCATAAGGTGCTTTTTCAAACTATTTCCTTGAGATCCAAGTATAAAAAAAATACCTTGGACGAGGGTGGAGATGAAGGGACGTCTCTCATCTTCTTGGGAGATGTGGGCACAATGTCTCCCACATCATCTGACACCACCGTCCGACAGAGCAGGAACAGGCGCTTGTACATCCCCAGAAATTCCTCAAAGTCAATACCTGCAATGTATCACTGGTCCGTGAGAGGGGATCCACAGTAACACACTATCTAACTCCTTTACAGTCTGTAGCATCATGTAGTTGAATATTGTGTTTGAAATATAGTACTTAGGTAATAAGCTGGACCTCTCATGCCTGGACAGACTCCAAATTAAATCACTTCATCAGACACATATCAAGACAATTAATACAGGAATACCCTAATTAATAAGACTATTTATGATAGATTTATCAATGAAATGACTACAATGATCTAGAGTTAGGAATACACAACTCATCATTGATTATCTCCCTTACATAACAGGCATGCTCATTGAAGATACAACAAAAAAGAACAGCATCAACAGAGAATAAAGATTTACCATGCTTGCTGCCTGAACACTGTCCGTGAGTCAAGTAAAGGTTGGTTGGTTGTTTTTTTGTTTTACGCCACACTCAGCAATATTTCAGCTATATGAGGGGAGTTAGTCTGGACCAGACAATCAAGTCTGGACGAGACAATCCAGTGATTGATATCATGCGCATCGACCCAAGCAATTGGGATCGATGACATGCATCAACCAAGTCAGCGAGCCTGACCACCCAATCCCGTTAGTCGCCTTTTACGGCAAGCATAGTCGCCTCAAGTAAAGGTCATGTCGAGCATGTTCATAGGTAAGTTATACATGCCAGATGGTATCATGCCACGTGCAGTTCAAACACTAGCAGATGACCGATATACTATCATTCACTGTACCTGGCCAACCTCTCAAGCATGTTATATACTGAGACGATGCACTGTCATAACCAGCAGTGACTGATATTTAACAAGATAAAGTGGTTTCAATACTGATATATTAATCAAAGATTTACAAGTATATATATTAATCAAAGATTTACAAGTATCCTTGCACATGTTGCAGTTTCTCTGCCTCTCCATCACCGACGACAACAGCTAGTGCACCCTACCCAGTTGTGTGTTGAGTATTTTCTCACTTCCATTAGTACACACTCACTATACTACCTATGTTATCCTGGACTACACACAACAGTCACTCTCCACCTTATCAAGTACATAGCTCTCTTGTCAAACATTTTAGAAAACATATACCATGTTTGTTTGACACCACACTCAGCAATATTCCAGCTATATGACAGCGGTCTGTAACTAATCGAGTCTGGATCAGACAATCCAGTGATTGACATCACGAGCATCGGCCCAATTGGGACACATTGACATGCATCAACCAAGTCAGAAGCTTGACCACCCGACCCCGTTAGTTGCCTCTTACGACACGCATAGTCGCTTTTTACGGCAAAGATGGGTTGCTGAAGACCTATTCTGCCCGGGATCTTCAGGGGCCCCGTATGCCATGTATATATGTACATTCAAATTTACATCGATCAGATTCCTCATAAGCATCATAATAAGTACATCATAAAATAAATCCTTCCATAACAATAAAAATCTTATCAAAACTAACCTGATTAATCTTAATTTCAAATGAATTGATAACTGAAGGAATGAACGAATTGGCAAAGTGAAAAACAGACAGAAAAAGATGGAAATTAACATGAAAAAGAGAAAATGTAATGAAAGGACATGAAGGTAGCATGAGGTGCAGCTACTCTGTTGGCATGTTTGTGGACATGATGGGAGGGAAGTCCTTCATCTCTTTCAACAGTATTTCAGTCACATCACTGTGTGTCAGCTTAATGTTATCTTCCTGAGGCAAGGGAGTTAATTGACCATAAAATTCCAGTTTCCAACCTTGCCAAACTAGGCTGGAATTATTGAGTTATATATTGGCTTGACTAATGAGTCTATGCATAGTCCAATCAAAATCGTGTAACAAAATGGACATCTGGTTTGTAAACTGCTGTGCAGATTTCGATCAATTGCATGATCTGCAAAGTTTGTGTAACTCGCCGTCAACAGATATTTTCCAAATCATTTTATGTTCTTAATCAAGGAGCTCATGTGATTTGATGCACTTCGCAAAGAAAGACCAGTCTTTTCCAAATACAGATTTTGATTATCGATCAGATTGTCTTGACTGAGCGTGGCCATTTTGTTTGAAGCAAATGCAAGTGATATGAGAGGCGAAATCTGATTGGTCAATAGGAGGGACATAGAAGGGACATAACTTGTAACACTACCAGCCACTGCTAGCGCTACGATCAAGCCCCCAAATTCTAGCCCTTGGGTAGAAACTGGACCTTTACAGTCAGTTAACACGCTTGCCACAGGAAGATGGTTGAATGTCGGAGAACATGATATAGGCTTAGGATGTCTAGCAGTCTGGTGAAACCAAATATGGCATAAATGCTGAGACCAGTGGATCCTGGTATAGCCATGGGAAGCAACTCTCTGCACAGACCCCTTCACATCCATAATGACATGATACATCTGATTGAGACACCAGACAGTGTCTGAATGCACTGAATACATTCTCATCATGTCATCATTTTCAAGAACATTTTTACGTCAACAACAATCCAGCATGCAACATTCAGGCCTAAATATCACTGCCCTACACAGGCAATCCTTGGAAGAACAGATGATTTCATGCAGTCATTTCCAGAAGTATTTACCTCTAGGGGTGAGTGAGTAGATTCCTATAGGAAATAAAACTCACTATACTTCCGGTCCCATCAACCATAATGTATTGCAGGCAAAATCTGACTTCAAAGCCAGAAATATTTTTGACAAGTAATAAACATCCAATCACAAAAACATCTAGAATATTTGGAGGTACATCTACAGAATACCTGATACCCATCTACTCAGTTTGTTTGATGCTAGCAGCATGGGACAGAGTGACTATTTAGAAAGCTCAAAATATGCAGAAGAAAATATCTCTGCTTGCATTTGTATGGTTTGAAAAGACTAAGCCCGAAAATTGAATATCAATGTAAATTAAACAAATAGAAAATTGGACATTAACACACTGATTAACACAGAGATATTACTTGAAAATAGAGGTTCCATAATGGCACATCCGCATCTGTGACATACATCGGGGCCACATTTCAACACACATAGTACTTTTCATTAACTTTGGAAACCAAAAATATGACACTTATGATACCTGATAGCATCGGTTTCAAGTCGTGTGGAGGACAAATCAACTGTTATTTTACTGAGGCAGATAAAAATGGCGGTGAAAAAAACTAAGAAACTGTTACTAAAGTCATGCCTATTCCCTAACAATATGGCAGAAGGTATCCTGTATTCTGTATTCTAGCCTATTTAGATTGCTTCTGAGACATATCAGATGAATTACTAGAGGGCATAAATAAAACTTATCCATAACGTGTGTACCGTCTATAGTCATCACTTACAAACAAAGTATATTGATAAATGTTAACTTCCAGTGATATTGGGTGCACAAAAACATCAGGAACTTAACCATGACACAACAAAGAGAATATAGTGAACAGGAAGAGTTATCACAGGGCATCACTTCACACATGTAACAGCATATCCTCAAAACACTGGCACTCCTTGAACAGGTGTGGACATCTGGCTAGTCTGAACGGGGCTATACTCACTGCTGCTAAAGTCACTGTCCACTGCTTTGAACTCGTCATTTACGTATCTGTCAAGCATATTTCTGAAACAACAAGAGTCAAAGTTGTTCACAACATTACATTACATTATTTGATTACAACACAAAAAGGACATGATTTCAAATGTCAACCCCGTTAATGTCTGTGATAACTTGTCAAGATTACTCTTTTTAATGTTTAGATCAGTTTTACTTATTCATTGGTCAAAGTTCCTCGTCAAACCAAATCTGCTGTCTGCACTTGCAGTGACTTCCTTTGTATGTTCGGATGTTGAAAATATCAAAGGAAACCATACTTCTTATCAATGTGATACCGGGACACAGAAAAACATTGAACAAAGATTACCAGTCTCAGTTACCAGAAACAGAAGATAGACATGATAAAGAAGCTTTATTACTTATGGAAATGTGGGAAGATGTCAATGAAGAGATCTCGTAATTCATCCTTGTCAATTGAACCACTGCCATCCTGGAAAAATACAAAGCAAAAATAATAACAAGAGGACAACGTCATCAATGTCCACTGCAATGGTAAAGATGATAAATACCTGTCACGAATAAATATACTATGCACAAAAATAGGGGATAGTAGGAATCATCCAGACCTATCTTCGGATATACATGTATATGGTATTGGCTAATGGAAATGATATGATCATATCTGCTGGGGAGTAGGCGATCAGACCTAATGGGTTCTAACAGTTAGTGTGATGAGATGGTGGCGAACTAGGTCGGGGGTCAAGTTCAAAATTTGCATTTTGCAGCCAATGTAACTAACATGTTCAGTGGGGAAAAGGTCAGGAGTGAGTGCTGGCCATGACGTGGATGGTTTGCTGTTGGAGGAATTGGGTTACAATCCTGGCATGATGAGCAAAGCATCACCGTCTTGAAAGATAAAACGTTGCCCAAGACAAATGATGTCCCGTTAGTACTGACCTGTGACCATACCAGAGCACAGATAAGCCAGTCATTGGGATATCGTACCATTATGTTCCCACCCCCAAAATGATCATACTGTATGACATTAACATCCATAAAACACTCATTAGGACGTCTCCAAACTTGATTCCTTCGGTCATTGAAGTAAAGGGAGAGCCTAGATGGACCACGTCCAAGATTATTGCACTTATATAGCGATCTGAATGCACAAATGTGTTGGTGTAGGTGTGTGTGGCTGCTTGTACTAGTCCAAACTAATGACAATTTTTCAGTGCTAGCCCACTGAGATACCATGCCACAGCTTTACATGAATATCCCACTCAGACACAGTATACTGACTTCGAGCCGACCAGTCCTTGTTTTAGCCCCTTAATGCCGAGCGCCAGGCACGATAACAAGTACTATCTTTAACATCTTTTGGTGTGGCGCACCTGGGGATCGAACCCCCAATCTTCCGCGCTACCACTAGACCACGGAGGCGGTCCAGTGTTTGGGCAACAATAGTCTGACGTGTGCCCACCTGAAACATGCCTATGGCACGTTGCAAATGTCGTAGGATCCATGCTGTTGCTTTCTTAATAAATATATGTGTTTGAGCATTTGGTTCCATGAAAGCAATATGTGTCTGCTCACCACCAAATCTGTGCGACAATTTTAAGTCTGGCATACAACCCCTTGCACGTACAGTCCAAGGTCACATGCTTCATGACTTACAATGTTGTGTATGGGAGCACAGACAGACGCACAGACTGTGTCCATTTTAATATTCCTTGCAAAACGTCTTGCGTTGAATAACAAAATCCTACACTATCCTAGCTGAACTGACTTCTATGTCCATGGTGGCATGTAGTCTTGTGAACAGCAAACAGTTCATAAATCAGGTGAAGTTAATCAATGTCGGTTGCGAAGAATAGTTGGATGGGTTATGGCAGCCTGACTCCTAAGAGTTTCTAGGGCTTCGGTCCTGCCCCACACTGAAGCACCTGTGCTGTCTCCTTAGTCTCGTGACTTTGCTGAAATATGCCTCTGTTCAACCAGCAGCAAAACTGAGTATGGCAGGATGAAATGGTAGTGTGACTGTTAACCCTCTGGTGCCTGACAAGACATCTTGGGTTATATACTCCCTAGGGAACTGAGAAAAAAACCCTGAGTGCACACTGATCCACTGAATGGGGTAATAATGACAGCGCTAAGAGCACACACCTTGTGTGGGGAGCATAGCGCAACACAAGTACACACATTATTGTTATGATTATTATTCACAATTCTACAATATAATCTGGTCCAAATTGAACAATTTTTTCATGAAATGATTAGAAACTAATGAAGTGCTGACCTACCTTGTCATAATACTCAAACTTTTTTTGTGCAGCCTCTATCTGTGTGGCTGTGAGTTCCTGAAACAGTGATGATGTCATGATAGTGATGTCAGACAGCTGCATCTCAGCACGTGTTCTATGTATTCAATAGTAGTGGGACGATACACTGATGCATTGCGATGTTTTACTTCTCGATACAAGTATTGATCACAACCGCACACAAAGTGAAAAGTTTCGATTCTTACCTTAAATGTATTCAATAAATGTTACACCAAACACTAATTAGTAGTGAAAATGAGAAGTGAAAACGTAAATATTTTCGTCCATTGCGCCATACTTGACACTGCCAACTGTAAATCGATACTGTGCCAGGTATTTGGCCATCCTGTCTATGAAAAACATGGCTCACGCACCACAGAAAAGTGAATTGTTTGATAGGCATTACTTAGAAGTTGACGGATGACAAGATAGACACAATCTTATGGATAACAACGTCTTTAATACTGTGAAAAGCGACGTTTCGGTATAGATCCTTATACCGTTGTCAAGCAAGACTGTCTTGCTTGACAACGGAATAAGGATCTATACCGAAACGTCGCTTTTCACAGTATTAAAGAAGTTGTTATCCATAAAATTGTGTCTTTCTTGTCACAGAAAAGTGCACATGCAAGTATCGTGATACGTATCGGATCGTGAGCAAGGTATCATGATACGTATCGGATTGCACATTTGGTGCATCGTCCCAGCCCTGGTATTCAATGTTGCAGTGAGGCAAGTTCCTTACCAGCTCATGCTGTGTGTCAACTGCCTAGACAGCTATAGCACATACGAAAGGAAAGATGATACTATTTCGACATTCTGATCTAATAGAATCATAGTCACTGCCCTTGAACACATCATGCTCAAACAAATAGTGGCTCAATGTACTTGAGCTTATCAAAATAAATTGCACCTTAGATATATAATCAGTATTATAATATGCAAATGTCTTCTAATTATACATGGTATAAAAATGATAAAACACCCAAATTCCAATGTCAATCCATTATAATCATGATAATAATCCACAATCAAGATGAAAACTGGAGGGCAAGGTTGTTCATCTCTATCAAACCTGGCTGGAAGCATGCAGCAAGAACAACAGTCAACATTGTTACCATGGTTACAACTTGGACCATGTGGGATTCAAACACAGATTACAAGAACTGACATAACAACATAGTTACAAATAGAGGTGCACAGTATTACCGGTATACCATGATTTGAAACGCTAATGAATATGTATCACAATATATTTGGAAAATACCACCAAATTGCGTTTTTCAAAATCATTCATATTTTCATATTGTTGGCAAAGTTTACATAAGTGGCAAGTCGAAATGAAACGAAATTCCGAAGTTATCAACTTGATTCCTGTGATCGAAACTGTGAGTTAAACAATTCATGACCAGCTTCCCGTATATCATGTGTCTACTACACATGCGTTGTGACAACATCTAACATAATGGGTGACGAATTTGTCAAAAGTGTGCGGGGGAAGTCTGATGTCTGCTCTGGATGTGGGAGTTGTCCTCAGATAAATTTGCTGCAGTGCAGAGTTTAGTCCTTCTAGCATGCCAGAAACCTATGATGATGATTGTGGATTTGAACCCTGGTTCCTCCCGATTATGCTTCTAGATAAACATCTGGATAAACATTTAGATAATTGTCTGGATAAACGTCTAGATAAACGTCTGAGACCTTCATCTTCAGGCTTACCTCCCACATTAAGCTGACATGCCGTGATATAATTGGATTACTGATAAAAGCAGCATTAGACTAAACATATTCGCTCATAACAAGTTACTGATGAACGAACACATGCAATATAATTGCAACATGCTGATATGAAAGTCAGGCCAATACCCATCACTACTAACAACACATACCAAATATGAAGTGTCATAATCAATGATTTTCTGACACTTTTTAATATATTACCATGATTGCATACCTGCGTGATGCTTCTTGACTGAATTTAAACACTTCTACTTCCTCTAACATGTCTAACAGTAACATGTAACACTGAAGCAGTGATAAGTTGGAGTCATATAATCATGTACAAACAAATTTTGTACCTAGCCATAATAAGAGGAATTAAGTTTGCATTACAAATATATTGCAATCCCTTGAAAAATCGACAATCTGGTCAAACTTGACCTGTCTAATGGACTGGGACAAACATCAGGTGCGGACAGATCCGAGCTATGCATTTGAAGAGATAAGGTAGAGGGGGTGTTAGGGGGTGATTTTCACAAACTTTCTGCAATTTTCATAGGAGTATGTGGGCTTTAACCCTACTGTGCATGTTTAAGTCAAAAGGATGGTATTTTGACATTCTGTATAGCTGCAGACTTATCAAGGTAACGAAACATGCAATATAACTGTAGCTACCAGGATGCATAACAATTAGCAGTGCAAGTCAACATGGTACACATTTGACACTTAAAGGAGAACAAGTAGTGTAGCTACAACACAAGACACATGTACCACCACTTGGAGTGGGACACTACCCACAGGTTACCTTGGGGATTCTCACGGTGTCCTCAGCCTCCTAGAGAATAGCACAGAACCATACAGTATCTACCAGCATACATGACAGACAGCGGCTCTACTTCATCATGGTTTGTTTGTTTGGTTGTTGCTTAATGCCACACTCCGCAATATTCCAGCTATGTGCTGGCAGTCTGTAACTAATAGAGTCTGGACCAGACAATCCAGTGATTGACATCATGAGCATCGATCCACGCAATTTGGATATGATGACATGCATCAACCAAGTCAGCAAGCCTGACCACTTGATCCCTAACGACAAGCATGGGTTGCTGAAGACCTATTCTACCCCGGATCATCAAGGGTCTCTGTGTTTATGATTACAAGATGTGGATCATACGGCTGCTGAATGTGTTGTATTAATGTTATGATCGTGTTAGACTGTGCCTTACACTGACAATGTGACTGTGAGAATCATGTGGAAGTGGCCTTAGGACTGTTTCACTTAATTCTAGGGTTAGAAGGACATGACTACTAATTCATGGGCAGAGAAACTAAATAATAATTCCATTCTTAAAATGGTACAGTTAATGCATAAAATGTTGACCAAAATATTTGAACTATAGAATGCATATGTTTGACCTAGGAACAAAAAGAAAAATATTAAAATAGGATATCAAGTGTTTGATGTTTTAGTTCAATTTCAAAGCTTTCCCGAAGTTTCAGCAACTTCTAGTGTACATACAATGGCCATAACCATTGTACATGTCTAAACACAAAAGAGATGTTACTATGGTTACTACTGACAGAAGGAGTAGTTCTTATATATCTGAACACAAAAGATATGTTAATGTTGAGAGAGAATCGTTCTAATATGTCTAAACACAATAGAGATGTGATATTAAGAGAGAACTGTTTGGATATGTTCAAACACAAAAGAGATGTGATATTAAGAGATACCAGTCTTGTAGAAAGAATGTCATCATCTGTGTCATCTTCCCAAGGCAAGAGAGTTAACAGACTAAAAAAGTCCAGTATCCTGAATTGCTGAACAAGGCTGATATAATGGAGTTATAATTTGGCTGTACTATCGAGTCTATGCATAGTCCAATCAAAATTGTGCAACAATATCGAAAAACGGTTCGTAAACTGTCTTGCAGATTTCGATCAATTGCAGGGATTTGCAAAGCATGTGCACCGCTAACTTGTTGCTAACAGATATTTTTCCAAATCTTTTCAAGTTTTAATCAAGGTGCTCACATCATTTGATGCACTTCGCAATGTAAGACTCATTATCGATCAGATGGTCTTGACTGGGCGCCACAATTTTGTTTGTAACAAATGCAAGTGATACGAGAGGTGGAACCTGATGGTCCATAAGAGAGGTTTAGAAGGGACATAACTCGTAATAACCACTGGTGGCACTACGATAGAGCCCAGGAATTCCAGCTAGGTTCGGCAAGGGTGGAAACCTGACTTTTAAAGTCAGTTAACTCTCTTCTTGGGAAGATGCATCTGTATATGTTACACGCTGTATGTACTTACTTCAGTTATAGACCTGGAGTGGGTGAGCGGTGGCTTGCTTCCCTGCGGAGTGGGACGAACCACCTCGGACAGCAAGGGGGCCTTGGGGGAGGAGCCTGTATCAGGGAGCTTCAACTCCCGCGCTAGTGTGGCACGCTTGTCATAATCTTGACCCTGTTGGTATAAACACTCACCATCAGTCAACATACAGAAAAAGTGGTATCACCACGGCAGCGAGAAAATAGTAGTGTGTTAATCATTTACTATGTTAAGGAGGGACTAATTATGGTGTGTCATATGACATGTGAATTTGTTTGGATTTGTGAATTATTGGCACCTGTTATGTTTATTGGCACCTGTTATGTTGCATCAACATGTGAAAAATGCTCTACAAAAGAAATGTCCCCATACATTCATCAAATACAGTATGAACAGTAATCAGCTGCTGTTATCATTATTAATGACTTCCAATTTAACTTGTGTGAGTGAGTGAGAATGGTTTTACACAGCTTTTAGCAATACTCCAGCAATATCACGGCAGGGGACACCAGAAATGGGCTTCACACATTGTACCCATGTCTGGAATTGAACCCGGGTCTTCTGTGTGACGAGCGAACGCTTTAACCACTAGGCTACCCGACCAACCCCATTTTACCTGAAATACTTTTTCTTGCAGTCATGATAATCAACAGATCAAAAAAAACTTCCACTTTGCATATCTTCAACATATTGAAATCTACTCCTTGCTGATTCACTGTGACTGTTCATCTGAGTGCTAACAAATATCCCTGAGATTTGACTTACCAGGCCTGTTTCAGGGTCGAAGACGGCCAATGTGAATTCCAAGTCAAAGAACTCAAGGAATTCACGAACCAGACTCGCTATCTGACGACCTGAAAGCAACAAAACAAAGTAAGTCACAAATTTTAAAACCTTTCAGTTATACACATTTTACATGTTTTATTCATCAATCAGGGATATGAAAACAAAACTCATTTCATCCAGTTACAAAGTCTGGTGTGAAATATCCATTCTAATCAAATAAAGGAAAATCAGTATCTCAGCATAATTAATGTTGATCAGCATGCTCAGAGGACCATGATGCCAAACGACACAGTGGAACAGATGAGAGTGAGTGAGTTGGGTTTAACGCTGCATTTAACAGTATTCCAGTTATATCATGGTGTGTCAGCATAATGTGGGAGGAAAGCCCGAAGTGATGCAGGTTTCAGATGTTTACTACTTCTGTGAAACCGGCGAGCACGGGTATGGTGCTGACACTTAGAAATATAATCGGGGCGAACCAGGATTCAAACCCACAATCATAAGTTTCTGGTGTGCCCAAGGGACACAACTCTGCACAGCACATCACGGCGCCTTAGACCACTGGGCCACCCTTGCCCCCGGAACACATGAGAAGTGACAAAAGGATGCCTGAAGTTCACAAGGCAAGAAACTCACCCTCTTTGGTAGACAGGAACTGTTTTAAGTCTTTGTTTAGGAATGGAGTTTTATTCTGAAATAGGATCATAGGTTTATGTGATATGCAACAAGCATGTCAAGGTACATGAGGTATCTTTTAACTGATATACCATTTATTGAGCATATGCAAATATTGACCATATGCTTTGCCATGTTCCAAGACAAACATTTCTGAATTAATACAGATACTAGAAAAATAGCTGCAACCTCATAATATACTCCTTAAACAGCCTGTCGGTCAGAAAGTGGGCTACACGTAATAAACATGAAAATACTGGTTAAGTAGATTCATTACCAATGACACCGTTTTCTGATTGTATCTACGACATCTACATACAGTTTTTAATGAAGATATAACACTTCTAACTTGACAAACTACAGATAGATTTCAATGCTTTTTCTGCTAACTATGTACATGATATAATTCACTTCCTCTTGACTTGAAAGATAAAACTAAAGAATTTCAATACCGTATTCGACGTAATAAGCGCCCAGGGCGCTCTCAAAATTAGAAATAGGGGGCTCTTATTAGAATATTATTTTGGTGCTATAAAAAAGGATGACAAAAGTAACTTGAACAAAAAAAATGGTCACCTTTTTTTCCGCATTTGATTCATAGCTCTCTGTTGATACATGATATGTTTGAGTCTGACTGTGTGTTGCAACCGTGTTGGTTTGAAATAGGACAATGTTTGTTTCCAACCCTTTAATTTTCTTAAGAGTGTATTGTGCCATTCTGTGCAATCCGAAATATGTCTTTGACGGAATACGGTATTAATCTACAACTCTGGGAACAATAAAAACGTTGGAAAAAAAAAAGAATATTATTTTGGTGAAAAAGACTTTTGGTTCAAAGATAAATTTAGTGGTTTATGCTGACAGCCTGAAATGTTTATATACGAGAGATACATTTTCCCAGAATTTAATTGCCCATAATTAAGGGTGCATATAACACACGAGTACGTATTATACGCGAATAAATAAGTGTTGTGTACATTGATCAATCGGAAGGGGTGCTAATTGGTATTGTTCACTAGCTAATATATTAGCAAATATCGCCGTGGGCGCTTATTAGAGCAGGGCGCTTATTACGTCGAATACGGTACTTGAACTTACTGTCACATTCCATACTTATCTGGTAACGGTATTACTGTTCTTTTTCATGTTTTAAACATTATTTTGCATCTGCTGTAGATATCCATATTCAACCAGAACACAAAATTTGATCTGTACTTACTTTCTTGGTTTAAATAGACAATTACCATGATTACTATTGTTTCCAACCAAAATGACTAAACAATTAATTACCTGCACTGATTCTTGCTCTTCCAATGCCAAGAATACGCTTGCCCGAAGTTGTGCCTGGAAAATGAAATATAAACAGGATAAAAAATGATAAAATTCATACGTTTTCAAAAGAGAGAGTGAGTATTGTTTATTAATATTACAATTCGAACAGTGTTTTCCATATCATTTTTGTTAATGTGTTTACACCATATATAGCTTTCCATTGGATGAGAGACCAGTCACATGAACATGATAATGATGTCTATAAGCTCATTTTGATGTTCATAACTTCTTATGATTATCATGAGACTGTATTTTTGAAATTGAAATGATGTACACATTGACAGACAGACTTCCACATTCCTGTGTGATACCGAATAGTTGTTGTTAATCGTAAATAACCAGGTTTTCCGATTGTGGATCGCATTTTGACATTTGCACTGAAACAATTACTGAGGATGAAAAGTTGTATACTGCTAACCACAAAGTTTATGTATTAATTCTATCAATGAAAGTATGATAATTTATCGATGACACTCCTGAAAAACATTTTCCATCAACAAAAATTATGTCAGCTATTGACAATGACACAGCCAACATGTGGCTTTCTCTTTAGAGTTAGTTAAATATCTTGCCATTGTGGTATTCTCTTCTTACAATTGTTGTGATTTTATGTATTGAGCAGCAGTCTGATTGTACACACAGTGAAATGTATTTCATTATCTGATTTTGCTGTCAAGAAGACGAAAGAAGGGTTCATCGAGGTGTACCTCAGCAGTGCGAGAATCTACATGATCTTTTGACTACCTAAACACAATTATGACAAGGCGCCCTGGACTATATTAGACTTACATGCATAATTTTGAATACTGATCATGTTGACATTTCAAACTTCTTACACAGTATATATGATTACACTATAGGCATTATCTGAGGACAAGAGGACAGGCGAGATACTAATGTTATGTACCTGGTCTCAAAACTCAGTCAAGCAATTCACTACTTATATTGATGTTGTTTGAAAAGTTCCTTGCTGACACTAGTTACAGCGGCTCCTAATCTACTGGCTTGCATAGCTGTGTGATTATTGTCAACACAATGTGGCAGTCATAAAAAGTCTCGTTGGACGTATTCCTGGGTGATAAAAGTGTGGAATGCAGAATTTAGATTACCCAGGTAGATTCGGGTATAGTATCAGAGTACAACGGTGGGCCAATATCTCATAATATGCGGCCGGGTACACAGAAGGTAGGTTTTATATCAGTTGTATATAGCTCAATCATGCGTCAACTGACATTCGAAACTTCCTATTCCAGTGATCCTGCCTACCGGTTTGGGCAATGCCATATTAACAGGAATAGTGAAAAACATTGATACCAATCAAGGGAAAATAATAACTTAGATGTACAACTTGGCATTAACTATATTAAAACGTCAGACCAAGAATATAAATGTGATCATTCATGCCTAAAGTGATGTTTTCAATGACTGTCAGTGTCAAATATCGAACGTAAACAAAGTGGCGTGCATGTCGGAGCACGGCAGAATATTCTTCAGAACGCGAGACGTGCACATCAAACCACATGCCAGCAATGACAATTACAGAACATGGACAAACAAAAAGATTAGACAAGGATGAATTTGCAAATTACCCTTATTTTGCCCAAAGTACCGTTAGTTTCTAACGTTTGGGCAACCAAATCTCTAAGTTCTGTATCTTCGTCGGCAGACATCTTGAAGTTCGGAAACAGTGCGCTGCGCATGCGCTTAGGTAAAGTTAGTTGGGACAGTTCTTAGTACCCTAAAAAATAAACTACTCATTTTTTCCCTAATGCATTTATATTTCAATTATAGATGCCCAAATCACGGTTAAACATAATTTATGAATACGCAAACTGTTTTAGAGTATTCGTAAATTTGTTGATAGTTTCTATGGCTACAACCAATGAAATCAATCCTATTGTGTATACGTCCAATGAGAGCGCAGGGAGTGTCAAGCTTCTGAATCCCGCATGATTTGAATCGCCATACATTCTCCTCCAATCCTCCATGCTGACCGGGCGTGTAAAGATATAGCTGCACATTTTGCTGGTATGCAACTTAATCTCTCTCTCAATAAGAATCAGAATCCATCAACTAATACACATATATTGTTTGTAAGACAACATTTTTCATTTATCCTTGATTTGACATTTTGTTTGATTTGATCAGCTGATACCCACAGGAACTCGTTATTGGTAAGTAAATACAATATGTACCCCCTATAGTGAGTGCATATTGAATTTATTTACCAATAACAAATTCCTTGCTGATACCCTACCCGTTGTAAAGGTCCTATTTTCTTTTATATTCATGCAGTATATCTACCATTGTGATAAGTCTTTGTGTCTGAAATAATTATTTTTCAAACTTAGTCACATGCCATTTTACTTTTTTTAGACCAAATCCGTCTTTCTCAAAGGACTATCCACAGGATACCTAAACTCCATACTCCGCAACAGGCCATTTGAATCCAACACACATCATGCCTTCAGAAGAAAACCAGCGTATCAAGACCTACAAGAATAAGGGCAGAGATGCAGATGTAAGTTTCATACATATTTTGTATCTATCACTTTGATAATGTAATAAGGCCCCCGTGAACATCCAGGTTAGAATTCCAGGTCTCCATACTTGTCGTACTTTTCCCCGTATTCCCCTCCAAAATATATATAATCAAAGGATTGAGCGGCTATGCATACATATGTAACTTTTTGAGTGGAGATAAAATCAGGTCTTAGTTCTCGCTACCGCTAAACAAAGATCTGAGGACATCCCATTACGGGTCATGTCTGACTGACCTTGCACAAACTTTGACCAACTAATGGAATGACCAATCAGAAGGCAGCTTTCTTGTGCTTTACGGCACTAATTTCAAATTGGCGACTACGCTTCGAAACGTATTTTGACAAATTCTCAATTACAATTTGAAACCTGAACAAAAGGAATGGCTTATAGATGGTCTAGATTGTATGGATTCAGTCGTTAAACCCGTAACTATCATTCGGAATATCCCGTGTTCATGTTTTCGAGGTTGTATGATTAGAAATCCCATTCCGACTGTCACTTTTATGATCTGGTAAGTGACGCTCTGATTGGTCGTACGAAAGGTCGTTCTCACGTGACCCCTAATGGGATGTCCTCAGATCTTTGTTTAGCGGTAGCAAGAACTAAGGTCTGATTTTAATGAGATTGAAGTCTTTCTGAATTGTCTTTGCCAAACTCAACTTTTTGCAGACTCAAATATTGTCAAGGGCGGCATTAAACAGAAATCCTTATTTGGTTTGAAATTAGGATTTTATCAAAGGTTTTTTGAACATGGTATCATGAGATTGCATTAAATGCAATATTATGAAACTAAGCATTAAAACCCCTTCCTCTTTATTGGTCCTGTTAACAATGAAATACAGCTTACCTCTACATTAGTTATTACATGAATTGGGAATTCAAAAATAGGAATGTTTAATAACATTTGCTGCAGACTTGGGGCCGAACATCTTCCCGAGGCAAGAGAGTTAACTGACCTTAAAAGTCCAGTTTCACCCCCTTGCCAAACTAGGCTGGAATTCTTGGGCTCAATCGTAGCGCCACCAGTGGCTATTACAGTTATGTCCCTTCTACACCTCCTATGGACCAGATTCAACCTCTCGTATCACTTGCATTTGCTTCAAACAAAAAGGCGCCCAGTCAGGACGATCTGCTCGATAATCAAGATCTATATTGTAACGGGTCTTACATTGCGAAATGCATCAAATCATGTGAGCACCTTGATTAAAAACATGCAAAGATTTTGAAAATATCCGTTGCCAACACATGCTTTGCAAATCCTGCAATCGACATGATCGACCGAAATCTGCACGACACTTTACGAACCGGATTTTGATTTCGTTGCGCTACTTTGATTGGACTATGCATGGACTCGTTAGTCCAGCCAAATTGTAACTCCATTATACCAGCCTAGTTCGGCAAGGTTGGAAACTGGACTTTTAAAGTCGGTTAATTCACTTTCCCCGGGAAGATGGGGACAAATGTCGGCCTCTGGACAGGTCTGTTTCCCCAAAAGTGCATGCCAGGGGCTCTTGGTTAAGTCTTAGATAAACCCCTGATACAATATTTGTGATTTGTCCTCAGGAAATGCGGAGACGGAGAAACCAGGTTTCAGTTGAACTTCGAAAGGCCAAGAAGGATGATCAGCTGCTGAAACGGAGAAATGTAGCAATTCTAGAAGAGCCCACCAGCCCCCTGCAGGAGAGGAACAAGGTAGGCGGTGACAGGTGTTTGAATGTTCATTTTAACGATCAATCAGGTTATATGGACTACCCCCAGCCTCCATTGAAAATGCCAACCAAGTTACTATATGATGGCCTTGCTGCAGCCTTTGTGATGTACAAGCAATTAATAATCACTTTTAGGTTTAACGAGCATCCATCGTCAGAACTTTTAAACAGTTTAATGTTTCTTGACTCTTGCTTAAATTTGGGCAGTCAGGTAGCCTAGTGGTTAAAACAGTGGTCATACAGAAGACATGGGTTCGATTCCCAACATTGGTACAATGTGTGAAGCCCATTTTGAGTGTCCCCAGCTGTGATATTGCTGGAATATTGCTAAAAGCGGCATAAAACCATATTCACTCCTTGCTTAAATTTACTAATTTTAGACTTATCTCAATTATTATTAGTTATCTCAACTCCCAGCTGCTCCAATTTTTCAGATCGGTTCCTTGTATAGGATCTTGACTGATCCAGAATGTCAAGATATTTTCATATCTGGTTGTGATAGTGGACAATAGTGGAATATTCTAGAAAATGTTATATTTGGAATAACGCTTAGTACAAATTCTGGTACTTTCATTTGGGTTGATTCCCGCAGGGGATTCAAACCCACGCTCCCAGAGTGAGGCACCTAATCGCAGCACACGGCCAGCAATCGGCCAGCAATCTAACCCACTCAGCCACCGAGGCTTACACTAAATGGAATATTCTGTTGCGTTTAGTTGATACAATAAAAAAATTGTCCTAATGCCATTTGGCAAATCACTGAACAATGTCTATAATTATCTCCCTTTGACTGGAGCTTTAAATAAAGACAATAAACATGGTGGATGGTTTAGTTCAATTACACCTTGTTTCCACATATAAGGCATGTTTATGACATTTGTAAATGTCAGGACTTCTCTTCCCTGATGGATTATCTGCATTGCCAGTTGTTCATTGATTTGAACCCATGTCTTCTTGATGCTTCAGCAACAGCCCACACTGACTATACAGGACATCATCAGCGGCGTGAACAGCGACGACCCCGCCACACAACAAACAGCCACTCAGGGAGCAAGAAGACTACTGTCGAAAGAACGTAACCCTCCCATCAACGAGATTATCAACACTGGGACTGTCGTCCCAAGACTTGTGGAGTTCCTGTCATACAATGACCGGTAAACAGGCTTCCATTATATTGTAGTCTGTTTTTGCTATTTGCCAGTAAGACTTTTCTATCAGATAGTTGGGATTGTTGGCTTTTATGTAGACAAACCTCATGTTCAGGTTTTATTCCTTGCAAGATGTAAATATATTCTATTATATCGTGGAAGATTGTTTTCGTTGATTGTGGTCAGTAATGTCTGATTATGTGAATCTTTGAAGTATGAAACTTTTCTTGTTCACTCAAAGATTCCCTTCTGTCCTTTTCCGCGTTCCACAAATCGATCTTAGCTCTGACTCTCCTATGCCTATGTTAAAGTATTGGAGTTACGATCATCTTACTCTAACATCACTTTGTGAATCGGGGCAAAGATTGGAATGGGACCATGATATTTTTAGTTTCTGATCCATTTTCATTCATGTCTGTTCTTCTTGAGTTGTAAAATACTTGAATATTATTGCAGACCTGATGTTCAGTTTGAGGCTGCCTGGGCCCTGACCAACATCGCGTCTGGAACCAGTGACCAGACCAAGGTTGTGGTCAAGGCAGGAGCTGTGCCCTACTTCATCAAGCTGCTGGAGTCACAGCACCAGAATGTGTGTGAGCAGGCTGTGTGGGCGCTGGGCAACATTGCTGGTGGGTGCTGTTGTCTTTCTTGCTGAAGGGGCACTGGGTTAACCATGTGGTTAAACTGTTCACTAGTCATGTTGAAGGTCCAGTTCCTTTCAAAGATAATTTGGTTGGTGGAAACAAATGCAAAAAATATCGCTTGGTTAGGCGTTGGAATGCCATGGAATCACTTGGAATTTATATATTCTCCAGTCCTAGACGAATTCTGCTATTTTCTGATCGTGGAAATATTTGCAGAGAATGTGACTTCCCACAGAACTGCAGAAAAATTGAGGAATTCGCCTATATTTATCAGTCAATACACTACTTTGAATTATTTTCAATACCTGTGAAGATCTGGTTTAGGATTGGTCGTCAGCAACCCATGTTTGTTGTAAGAGGCTACTAATGGGATCGGATGGTCTGGCTCGGCTCACTGATTTGGTTGATGGTCACTGATGCATGTCATCATATCCCAAATGTCTAGATTGATTCTTGAATCAATCACTGGATTGTCAGGTCAAGACTTGATTATTTACAGACCGCCGTCATATAGCTGGAATATTGCTGAGTGCAGCATTAAACAACAAACATTATTTTCGAGCTTTTCTATTGATTTTTGCATTAAACAAAAGATAAATCTGACAATGTAATGAAATTTGAAATAAATAATTTTCACTTTTAAACTTTCTTGTGACTACATGGAAAACCACGTTAAACCAAACCTGAAAACCTCTAAATGCAAGAGATTAAAATTTATCCTGAAAAAATGAGTTTGTATTATGTTTTCATGGGGGAAAAGTTTTTTACTGCAAATGTTTGGATAATTGTACTGCAGAATTTGTGACTTTTTCCTGACTGATCTGGTTTATCCTGCAGGTGATGGCCCGGAACTGCGAGATCATGTGACAGACGCTGGGATTGTGGAGCCCTTGCTCAGATTAGTCAAAACTGACGTACCAGTAAGTGGATACAGCAACATCTATTACCCATTAGCATAAGGGTAGAATGATTGTGTGTAATTTCCATTGTTTAGAAAAATGTCATCCATTGTTCATGATAACATTGATAACATATTGATGAACGATAAACTGCCTTCAGTGAAGTTTGTCCCTTATGAATGAGGCTTGGGTTATTCTCTTAGTAGCTCGATGACTTTGATTTTGTCGCCCATATACTTTTTCCAGCACTTTAGTCATAGAATTTTCTAATAATTTCCAGGGATGAGAATTTTCCTCAGATTCCCGGGATTTTTACTCACAGAATGATGTAAAATGCACTTATTTTAATCCTTGTTTATAAATTTTAGTGGGGAGCATGCCCCCCAAGCCCCTAGATTGACGATGTTCCTCGTCTGCTGTTCTTTTTTCAGTCTGAATTTCCCCTCCATGTGTTAGGACTCGAGTGACTCCTCTCCATCCTTGTTTCAGTCTGGTTTCCTCAGGAATGTCACATGGACAATATCAAATCTGTGCAGGAACAAGAACCCCCCTCCCAAGTTTAAGGTTGTGCGCCAGTGTCTGCCCACACTTTCCCGCCTCTTGTACCACAACGACCGCGAGGTGCTCGCCGACACATGCTGGGCGATCTCCTACCTCACAGATGGAACCAATGACAAGATTCAGGAGGTGGTTGATGCAGGTTGGAAATATGGCAAATTTTCTATACATTTTCACATGTCTGATTCAGTATGGTATTATAGATGTACTGCCAGATTTTAAGAATCGTGGGACCCTCGTAGACCCTTGTCAGAATTGGTTTTCATAGTACCGTATTCGACGTAACAAGTGTCCAGGGCGCTCTCAAAATAAGAAATAGGGGGCTCTCATTCTGAGTTGAAAGATAAATTTCGTGGTTTATGCTGACAGCCTGAAATGTTTATGTACGACAGATATATTTTTCCATAATTAAGGGTGCATATAACACGAGTGCGTATTATACGTGAATAAATAAGTCTTTGATCAATCGGAAGGGGTGCTAATTGGGATTGTTCACTAGTCAATATCTTAGCAAATAATGCAGTGGGCGCTTATTAGAGTGGGGTGCTTATTACGTCGAATACGGTATCAGCAACCTACTCGACTAGCGAGTTTATTCATTTGGTGGAAGGATGTCGTTGTATCCCAGTTGCTTAGATTGATGCTCATGATGTCAATCATTGGATTGTCTGGTCCATCCACTAGATCTACAAATCACAAACATATGGCTAGAATATTGCTAAGTGTGGAGTTCAACAACAAAACTAAGAAGCATGAGTTTTCACAAACAGATAAAAGTTGACTTATTAAAGTAATGCCAAAAGACGTCCTGGCCAGGGAAGTTTTAAATGCTGTCAGTCATCCAATAACCCTGTCATATCTAACATTACCTTTCAAATGTGTTTTCTTGATTGATAGTATATATCTTGTGAACACAGGTGTCGTGCCGCGTTTGGTGGAGCTGCTGGGATGTGTAGATCAAGTGTCGGTCCTGACCCCTGCCCTCCGATCTGTCGGCAACATAGTCACAGGGGACGATTCACAGACACAGGTAGGAGCAGCCTTCAAAATTCAAAATTGCCGAGACAACTAAATGTTGGCAAGGGCAAGTGAAAATCCATTGATACGAGTCCTCTTGTAGCATTTGAGGGCTATAATTTCAAACCAGTTCTCAATGCTTTAATTTTGCTTTGATTTGAACTGAATTAATCATTTTTGTCTTGTTTGAGCAGCACTAGCTACAAACTGAGGTCTTGTGAAATAGGCTTTCCACTAGTCTCCAGGATCTTAAAAACGACAAATTTCTTTTGCTGTAGCGACCCGTGAAGATTCTGGGGTAGAATAGGTCTTCAGAAACCCATGCTTGTCGTAAAAGGCGACTAACGGGATCGGTTGGTCAGGCTTGCTGACTTGGTTGATGCATGTCATCGATCCCAATTGCGTGGATCGATGCTCATGATATTAATCACTGGATTGTCTGGTCCAGACTCGATTATTTACAGGCCGCCGCCGTCATATAGCTGGAATATTGCTGAGTTCAGCGTTAAACAATAGCAAACTGTAGCAATGTTAACACATGGTCCTAGGTGGTTGTGACAGCAGGGGGATTGGTGTTGGAGATATGAGTGTGTTGCATACCTTCATATCACTGCCTGTGTTTGATATTCAAGTTTCCCAAGGAAAGTCTACTATAAATACCATTCTTTCTGCAGGCAGTACTTGATTCTGGTGCCCTCAATGGCTTTGAGAGATTGCTGACACATGCAAAGATCAACATTCAGAAAGAGGCTGCATGGACTCTGTCTAATGTGACAGCCGGCAACCCCACCCAGATCCAAGCTGTCATTGACAAGAACCTGATACCACCCGTTGTCAGCATCCTTGAAAAGGTATGTTGTGTCTGTCCAAATTACTTTTTTTCATGGAAATTGGACTTTCAATGCATCCCTGATTATAAAAGAAAAGCCATGTTTTCCAAAACATGTTATTTTGGTTTCAATCGGGCATCCTTATTTTCACATAAAATTTAAAGAAAAACCCAAACTTTTTGGGAGATAAATGATAACCGGAAGAGAAAATATGGTAATCGCTATATCTGATGGGTACTTGTCACAACCAAGAACATTGTGTCGGGGCTAGTAGCTCACTTTTATTGGGTCTAGAACTTGTTTCATACTGATGCATAAGTTGATTTTTAAACAAAGTTGGGGATTAGTTTGTGGAGTATGGTTTATTCATATAGCATTTTTTATACTACGTGTTGTGCAGGGAGACTTCAAGAGTCAAAAGGAGGCTGTATGGGCCATCACCAACCTGACGTCCGGTGGCACGGTGGAGCAGATCGCCTACCTTGTCCAGGGAGGCATTGTCAAGCCACTGTGTGATCTCCTCAATGTTAAAGAAGCCAAGGTGGTGCTTGTCATTCTAGATGCACTACAGAATATAATTACGGTGAGTAAAACACTTGTAAATACAGTTGAGTGAATTATAATTCTTGAATGCAGTAGGTTGCTCTATATACTTGCCAATGATTGACAAGTTTCTAAAAAGTCCCTGAAAAATAGATGAAGTGTCCTAGGGCTATTTGCATGATACACTTCTAGCAAATCCATTCCCATAGTGTTATGACTCATGTGTAAGTGAACTAGGTATATTTGCGTGGTTTAAGGGTCCTAAACAAATATCTTGGTTACAAAAAGCTTCATTAATCATAGATACTGTCTTCAAATTTTAGGTTTTCAAATTGTAAAATCAAAATCAAGTGATAATTTGTTGAATACTTTCACCTTGACAGGATCAGATATATTTCATATCCAAATTACCAAGCTTTTGGTGTCATAAATTACATTGGACATTTCAAAATTATGAATGTTTTGTATCTGTTCCACCGCCCCCACCCCCACCCCCATTGTAGTCCCCTCCCATGTCAGGCTCAGGTGTGAGTGATATATTTCTGTTGCTTGTGTGCAGTGAGATTCATGTCTGTCCCCAGGCTGCAGAGAAGATCAACCAACATGAGGCTGTTACCATGATGATCGAGGAAGTCGGCGGGGTCGACAAGATAGAACAACTACAGAACCACGAAAACGAACAAGTCTACAATGTTGCGCTCTATATCATTGAAAAATACTTTGGAGAAGAGGTAAGGGTTACACATCCAAGACAACTTTTTAATTTAGTTGACCCGTGAAGATCCGGGGTAGAATAGGTCTTCAGTAACCAACGCTTGCCATAAGAGGTGACTAACAGGATCGGATGGTCAGGCTCGCCGACTTGGTTGATGCATGTAATCGTATCCCAATTGCGAGGGCCGATGCTCATGTCTGTATTGTCTGATCCAGACTTGATTTAGACTGGCGTCATATAGCTGGAATATTGCTGAGTGCGGCGTTAAACAACAAACGATTTTAATTGTTTTTAGCAGATGATTATGACGGGCAGATGCTGTATGTGCTGCCTTAAATATCCCATCCGAGATGAGTACCCTACATGTACAGTCATCTAATGTCAACTTAAGTTACATATAGCATGGAAGAACCAAGGAATATCAGTTGGGAATTTAATGGGGCTCAGTGATGTTAAGAGCTGCATCTTGGTGAAGGGTTATCCCTAACCCAGGATCAATGGATCATAGGTTTGAATCCCATTTTCACTCTGATTGATCCTTGGTTTGTCTGCACCATATCTGAAATGTTCATTTCACCAAAGTGGTCGTCTTTTGAGCTTTGCTTCACCTTATACTGATAGCTGTGACATAATTAAAATACATGTGAAATAACTAGAAAGTAACTTTCATTCGCTTGAAAACTCATACATGAAATGGTGGCCCCCAAATCCAAATTTTACCATCTATATCTTTGAGTGTTTTTATTTGTTGCATAACACCACCCTCAGATATGACGGCCTGTAAAAAAATAAGTTTAGGCCAGAACCAGTGACCGATATTGTGTGCAATGATCCACGCTGGCATGTTACGGTGACCATGTTACCAAGACTGACGACACAGTCCATTCTGTTGCCTCTTACAACCAGTCTAGGTTGCTGGGGACCTAATCTAACCCAGAATCCAGTGTGAGGAAGTAAAGGTGTACATGTATTATGTGTAATTTTTGAAAATGTAGTGGTCAGCATGTCCTGGACATTAATCCCTTGCCCCTTCCTGACCATGCATTGATGGAGATTCTTCATGGTTGCAGATATGTCATGTATGCATTTGGTAATATTCTCATCAATTTTTTCTCCAGGAGGAGGATGAAAATGTAGCCCCGGCAGAAACAAACGACAACATGTACCAGTTCAACGCAGCAGCATCCGTACCAGCACAAGGATTCTCATTCTAGCTGACGATACCTCTCCACAGACAGTATCTGCTCACTGAGAAACAAGCTCAAAACTCAAACATGCTGGTTTTATTCATGTTGAACTGTGGACATGGATGTTACCATGTTGGTAACTAGTGCTATGACGTGTGTATTGTGCAATATGGCAAACCTGTCTATTGTAATACTTTTCAGAGATCTTGTTAAACATTTATCAAGGGAGATAACTCATAACTTTGTATGAATCATTAATCTGTGAAACTGGAGACTGGTTGACTTTTGTAATTTACAAACCATTATGAAGATTTATATTGACTGTATATAATTATGTAACCGACTTCTGCATACACAATGTTCCCACCAACATATCATGGGTTGCAAGCTGATCTATACTGCAGCACATGCCATGCACCTTCCTATGGCTGGTCACTTCACAAAGTCATTCTTTGCTGTCAAATTGTTTTTTGAAATAAGTGAATTCATTCATTTCTTTATCCTTTTTCTGATTTTTTGAAATGTCCATTGATAAGTTTACGTGTTTGTATGTAGACAGCTGACTGAAGATTATTCTAATTTTGACTAGCCGACAACATACAACAATATCATCCTTTTAACTCTCTACACTCACATCTTGAACTCTTTTCTCATTCCGCATGTCCTCATTAAATACACCTCAATCACTTGCTGTGTCTGTTTTCATTTGCCAATAGCAACTCTAGTGTACAATGGACCCGTCTCCATGGTCTAGTGGTAGAGCCTCCACCCGGAGAACGGAAGGTCCAGCGTTCGACCACAAACGGTCGCTTCGTACCAAAAGACGTTAAAATTTGTACTTGTTGTTACCCTGTCTGGCGGTCTGGACAAATGGTTTAAAAAAGAACTGGTTGGCTCAGTCTGTATACTGTGTCTGAGTAGGGTATCTCAGTGAGCTAGCACTATAAATCGGCATTAGTCCGGACTAGTACAAGCAGCCATGCACGTTGCTATATAAGTGCAACAATCTTGGATGCGATGTTAAACTCTATTTCACTTTCACCTCACATCTAGTTTACAATGAGAGAATAACACGGGTGAGAATCTTTCATGGATCCACAAAATTTAGTGACCACAAATTTGTTAAACACCAAATTATGGACCATGCTCTATTGAAAAAGGAAGTTTCAACTTAAAAGGAAAATATCCTCTCATCCCAGATATTAACATGAATTGTGGATTATAACCCTAGTGAAAAAGTACTTTTCACATTATTTCACGAGGGACAGATAATTGATATACATGACTTTAGTAGGTTATTCTCCATAACCCATAATCTTTTTCTGTGAAAATTAGTCTGTTTGAATGACATGAACAATGGATAACATCTTAAATGATTTGGGGCAATGTTTTGATATGACCCTTTGGGTCACAAGCCATAGAACAATCTGCATAAAGTAGAAATTATAATGATCAGTGAGAATTGTGAAAATGAAGTCTTTGAAGTGTTGTCAGTGTAGGATGAAATGTTTGTTTATCCTAAATTCATTTGCGCAATAGCATATGAATGATTAAAACCATCCAGTGGGGGCAGCTCATGTATTGTAATCAAGCAAACCGTTTCATTTTTGATGTTTCAGAGCTGTACACAAATATTGTAAAGTTATTTCACACAATATCGTGTGATTCTCAATTCTGATTGGTCAATTGTTATGAGAATAATACAATGACATCTATTGTTCATGAAGTCATTGTATCACGTCATGTGAATAAGAGGTTTGATTTTTCTTCATACACTCAATGATAAACGCACACACACACACACACACACACACACACACACACACAAAATAACCTACTCAGAATTAGTGGTAACATTAGTTCACAAGGACAGATAATCCACAAACTTACTCCACATTGGAATTTCTTTTTCGGCCCTGGGCCTGTTCCATCCACAAAGCTATCTTAATATAAAGATAATACTTGATATGACAATCAGTTATAGGGGAAAACGTACAGGTAACCAATGTGAGTATTGTGAGAATATGCGCAAAATACCAAACAACGGTCTTGTCTGACATTGCTGAGGTCGGATTCTATTCAGTGAGTCAACATTATTAAAATTGGGGTAAATATTTTCAAAGCTTGAACATATTATCAACATCCTTAAAGGGGCTGTACATAATGTTATCTAATATAAGAAATAAACGACCCGTGGTCTGTGCCCTTCATGGTTTATTCTCCCTGCAGTTTTAATGTACAATGAACACCTCCCATGAGTCCTTGAAATGTACACTTATAGAGAGAAAGTATACAGTACACCATATCCATAGATGGGAGATAACTGTGTAACCTGATTTTTCAAATTACCTCCCCCTTATCCATTAGGAAAATATACCTTTTCACAAAGTTGTTGTGATTGTATAGTCAGACCCCAGAGAATAAATTAAAAACTTAGTCCAATTCAAATATTGAATGATTTGACATTGTTCTGGGCTCATAAAGTAACTTCATTTCTAAGACGAAATGTTCGTAGTCAAAACAAAGCAATGAACATATTCTGATTGAAGAATGAACGCTAAAGTCCTCCGGTAAATTGATAATGCGTATGCTTTTTGTTTCCTTCTAACAATGGGGCACTGGTGGCCCAGTCATCTGAGGGACCGCGATTCGCTGTGCAGAGTTGCAGAGAAACCTATGATTGTGGGTTCGAATCCCGGTCCGCCCCGATTATATTTCTAGGTTTGTCAGCACCACACCCGTGCTCGTGGGTTCACCGAAGTGGTAAACGTCGGAGACCTGCATCACTTCTGGTTTTCCTCACCCACTCACTCTTACAACAATAGTCTAGCATGGTATCCGTGTCAACCGGTATTCAATTTGCTATCTGAGATTGTGGGATTTGCATTCAAACTGTGATCAGACGTAACACACAATTCATCAAGTCTACTTCACCGTGATCTCTTGTCTCTTATGGGACCCGTGAAGATTCCGGGCTAGAATAGGTCTTCAGCAACCCATACTTGTCGTAAAAGGCGACTAACGGGATCGGGTGGTCAGGCTCGCTGACTTTGTTGATACATGTCATCGATCCCAATTGCGTGGATCGATGCGCATGATGCCAATCACTGGATTGTCTGGTCCGGACTCGATTATTTTACAGACCGCCGTCATATATTGGAATATTGCTGAGTGCGGCGTTAAACAACAAACAAACAAAACAAACAAAAAACTTGTCTCATGGATTCTACAATTGTCGAGTTCAGTTTGCCAACACTCATTACATACATATCCCCTTGGCAAGGGAGTTACCTGACCATAATACCACCACCACCACCACCAGTTTGTGAACTTGACTGTAATATTGCATTAACTCCCTTGCCTTGGGAAGATGCATTACATACATTCGTGACCAACTCGTGTTATTCCGGGACAAGCCAAATAGCAGGTTACGGAAAGGGGCGTGTGGTGACGAATGGAATTACTTTGTGTGGAAACAATATTTTATTTCTAAACGATTAAAAGCATTGATCATCAGCAACTCGGTAAATATATAGCTAAAACAGCACTGATTGGCGAAAACGTAACCAGCTAAAACGGCAAATTATTTTTTAAATTTTTACCTCGGTCCTGAAATAAATGAAATCGAACTCACATCGTCACTTGCAAACACAAATAATTGTGAAATGTTAATCGCCTTAAAACATCCACAAGGCCGCAGGGGCCGAGGCCCTTTATTTTTAAGGAATGAAGAGTTACGAGGATATTCCCCTACTTTAAACTCACCCCTACTTTTACTCTTTGACAAAATATTCTTTTGTTGAAAAAAATTGCAAAAATAAATATGAACATCGTTGTAGGTAACCTGCTCTAACACAATATATACATATTATTTTGAGCTTTTAAGTTTTATGCAAAATTATGAATTTATTTAATAGTTAATTTCTCACCATACCTTCATGTGCCGCCGTAGCTGAGGTTGACAATTACACGTTATCAAACCAAACGAGGCGGGTTCGAATCCCGCTGGCGACAAATGTTTTCGGACAACACTAGTGGTTAAAAGTGTTCGCTCGTCGCTGAAGACACGGATTCTATTCCCGACATGGGTACAATGTGTGAAGCCCATTTCAGGTGTCCCCCGCCATGACATTGCTGGAATATTGCTAAAAGCGGCGAAAAACCATACTCACTCACTCACTAATTTCCAACCCCTAGTGAAGTGTTACAGTAAACTACGTTTATAACGAACTGACGGATATAACAAAATGTGTTTTGATCCCGTCCGTTTGCTGTTTATTTTCTGTACATATGCCGTATATATGCTACGGTTATAACAAACTGAAATTAGAGTTCGTTATAACCATAGTTAACTGTAGTTTGTCAATGTAAGTTGATGTGGAATTTGTTCGTCAGGCAATCACTGAAAGTCGATATTAAATGGATTAGGAACATGTGACACAATTACGTAGTAGACAAGCAAAACATTGCTCACATAAACACCGCTCTTGTGAAATATATTACAGCCTGTGGATTAATATAACCATGTTAATGCTAAATTTAAATGTACAGTTATACATAAACTTTATCTTTATCCGTAAACCAAAGCTAGTGGTGCCCGAATATATTATCACAAACTGATTAGATACTGTTATGACTCTAAGTATTCAAATCTTTTACTTTTGGCAATAAAATCGTGGACTAATTTAAGAATTTCCCTGTTGACTCCGTCACTGCTTCTATATACATTTCATTACATTATGATATGTCTGTTATTCTACATGTATGAATAAATGGTGGTGCAGGATATTTCAGTACAAAATATATGCAAGTGATGTATAAATAGAGAGGCACATTAATTAACGATATTTAATGTAGCGTTATTATGGCAATACAAAATATATGCAAGTGATGTATTAATAGAGAGGCACATTAATTAACGATATTTAATGTAGCGTTATCATGGTAATACAAAAAATATGCAAGTGATGTATTAATAGAGAGGCACATTAATTAACGATATTTCATGTAGCGTTATTATGGAAATACAAAATATATGCAAGTGATGTATTAATAGAGAGGCACATTGATTAATGATATTTAATGTAGCGTTATTATGGTAATACAAAAAATATGGAAGTGATGTATTAATAGAGAGGCACATTAATTAACGATATTTAATGTAGCGTTATTATGGTAATACAAAATATATGCAAATGATGTATTAATAGAGAGGCACATTAATTAACGATATTTCATGTAGCGTCATTATGGTAATACAAAATATATGCAAGTGATGTATTAATAGAGAGGCACATTGATTAACGATATTTAATGTAGCGTTATTTTGGCAATAATATATATATGCAAGTGATGTATTAATAGAGAGGCACATTGATTAACGATATTTAATGTAGCGTTATTATGGCAATACAAAATATATGCAAGTGATGTATTAATAGAGAGGCACATTTATTTACGATATTTAATGTAGCGTTATTATGGTAATACAAAGCATATGCAAGTGATGTATTAATAGAGAGGCACATTAATTAACGATATTTAATGTAGCGTTATTATGGTAATACCAAATATATGCAAGTGAAGTATTAATAGAGAGGCATTTTAATTAACGATATTTCATGTAGAGTTATTATGGTAATACAAAGTATATGCAAGTGATGTATTAATAGAGAGGCACATTAAT